AAAAAAAGTGTCACAACCTTTTCTTTGAAGAAGACAATGTAATGACTACTAGTGAGCTATTACATCGAGGAAAACTTAAACAGTGAAGCCTCCTTCTGAGCAAATTTCTCTGACCAATTTTCATTGCAGGATGAACTAAGTTTGTGTGTTAGAAGTATTACAATCCTCACAGGCTATACATCATGTGGTTAATGGAACAGAGATGGAATTGACGACTTTTTAATTAAGAGAAAAGGGATACCCTTCCCCTGCAGAACATTATCAATCTTTACAGAGGAAAGGAGAGGGAGTTCCAGGCCTTCTATTAAAAAATTTTTAATAGATCAAAATTATTTTGTGTTTTCCATCCACGTCTGCATTAGTTACATCCCTCATTACTGAGACAAAATACCAAACAAGAAAACAACTTCAGAATGGAAAGGTGTAGTTTAGTTCTCAATTTGAGGACGACATTCCATCAGATGTGGTAGGCATGTCAAGAGCTGGAGGAAACTGGTGACACAGACTTTGATAGTAAAGTATAGAGAACAGGAAATAGGTTTGACTATGAAACTGAGAGGTCTGGCCCCAGTGACCCATATCTTCTATGTCTTCTGGCAAGGTGTTACCTCCTCAAGGTCTCACAACCTCACCGAGCAACACTACCAGCAAGAACCAAGCATTCAAGCGTAGGAGCCTCATGGGGAAGTGTCAACTTGCAAACCATAAACCAGTCAAAGCTTTCACTGAGTGCTAATCACCCTCCATTACTATACTATGAGTCCTGCTGACTGGAATGCCTTCCAAATCCCATTGTATCTCTCCTTCTTCCTGCATGTTGGATACAGGGCTCTGTGGTGGTTGGAAAGAAAATGAGAGTGGCACTATTAGGAGCTGTGGCCTTGTTGAAGTAGGTATGGTCTTGTTAGAGAAAATGTGTCACTGTGAGTGCAGGCTTTGAGGATTCTTTCTCAAGTTTCACTTAGTGTGACACTCAGTCCACTTCCTGTTGCCCTCTGATCTGATGTAGCCAGTACCATGTCTTTCTGCATATTATCATGCTCCCTCTTTCATGATGATAATGGACTGAACCTTTGAAGTATAAGCTGCCACTTCAATTAAATGCTTTTGTTGCAAAGGTTGCCATGGTCGTGGTGTCTTCTCACAGCAATAGAAACCCCAAGACAGGCTCTTTTTCATCAAGAGTCCCATTTGTATACTATTTGCATTTTATTCATTTTACAAACAGTAACTGTGAGGGAATGATGAACCAACTACAAACTTGGAAATATCAGTTAATAAAATAGACAAAAATACACATGGAAAGAAGGGGCTCTGTTCTAGATGCATGTTCAAAATAAAAGTATTCTACTCTTTTTAACGATTTAGCACGTCAGTTCTTTATTTTGTTTGCAGTGTTTAAAATACAATTTATGGGTTATCACTTGATAGACTAGCATTCTCTCACTGGGTCACATTACAGGACAGCCCTCTAGTTCTGATGGAATGGTGTATACAGTGTCATCAGTATTTAGTGAGCTTCTGAATTTCTGAGATGAGACAAAATAGCAAGACATCAAATACTAAGAAACATATCAAAAGCTTATGCCCACTTTCCTGAGTTCAGAGAGCAAGCGGTTCATATATGGTCAGTAATGCAGTGTAACAGACTAGGCTTCATGGAGTCACAAATGATTGTAAGTCTCAGGCCTGAGCCATTAGAGGCTTGCATTAACATTCACCAAAATGGAGAAGATGCAAACAAATGGTGTTTGAAGGCAGCTTGAGGGTTTGTTTTAAACAATTTCGGGACATTTAAGGGCAGATATGTAAGGAAGTGGACATCTCAGTCAGGTTGGAAGAGAGAGGATGAGATGAATATTGTGAGCCATCAATATATGTATCTCATTTAAAGCCATGAGTTACTGTTTCTTACCAAGGGAGAATGTATAATAAGTCTTTCGAAGAAAGCTGAATTGTTTCAATGATAAGAAATTAGGGTGAAAAGGCATAATGAGAAAAGATTATCAGAAAAGAAGGAGCAGTGGGGTTTTGAGAAAAATCAATGGAATTTAAAGATCAAGCCAGAAACTTTCTTTTCTAAAGGGATTCTTTCCTAAGAGGGCAAACGTGAATAAGGTGAGCCATGAGGCATAATACTTGGATTTCTCCAGGTCTCCAATAATACCAATTTCAATCAAGAGAGCAATTTCAGTGCAGACATCAAATGACAAAGCTGACTAGAGTAACCTAGGGCAACAATGAGAAAGGTAGCTGTTTGAAGGCTACTTAGGATAGGACAAAAGAACTAAACCATGGCTGTGTCGGAAAGGGAAGCTGTTTGCGTTATATTGCAGTTAGAGATACATCATCACTTCCCGGTCTAAAGAGATGGTTTGGTAGGGACAGGGTACACTGGAAGGTGAAAGAGATAACAGTCCAAGAAAAGCAAAGAAAACAGGTACTAAGATGTAAACACTCTGAGTGGGCAGGCATGGAATCAGAATTCATGCCCTTCCTTTGTCTGCATCCCATTCAGGCAAGTTCCATCAAAGACAGCAGTTCAAAAGACCAGGACAGGCAGTGTTGGAGTCTTGAGATGAAAGGGGCAATATTTTACAAAGAATCTGTGCAGATTTGGAAACCATAATGTTTACTGGGGCTGTTAGAAACTCCCAAGGCTGAACTGTGTTCTATAGAGTGAGTCACCTCAAACAGCATGTGGATTTCAGCTTCTCGGTTCATCATCGATATGGAAGTGGGAAGGAACTGAAGAAAACTACACTTGTTGTCTCGGCGAAGTGAGAAAGGACAAAGGGATGAGGCATGTGTGGGGGATGGGGAGGGCAACTCTTCCCTTACCAGATTACTAATCTGACCAAGAAGGAAGAAGACATGTGTGGTTTAGTAACCAGCACTAAGAAAACATGAGGTTCACAAACTAGAAATCCTAGTGGAGTCACGGAACGGCGGGGAGAGTAGGGAACACAGGGAATATTGAGCAGCGAGAATAGGATCTATGGGGTGGGAGAGATGGTTCAGTGGTTAAGAGCACTGGCTGCTCTTCTAATGGACAAGGGTTCAACTATGGTTTCCGATGGAGACTCACAACAAGCTCTATTTCAGTTCTAGGAGATCTGCCACTGTTTTCTGGCTCCTGTGGGCACCAGGGACACATATCATATACAGACATTCATGACGCACAGAACAGATATATGAATATGGATTCATGGCAAAGATGATGATGCCTAGGCCTAAGCAGTGACCATGAGAACGTGTAGCTCAGAGGGATTGTGAGGCAAGGAAAGTACCTGAAAGAGGCTATGTTGATACAGAAGGTAAAGCTAATTTCAACAGATACTAAAAATGACATAACAGCATGGGACTTATTTCAGATTTATTTCCTATTTCCTTTCCTTCCTCAAATTTACCACCCTTATTTCTACCAAATGCTAATCCTTCTATGAAATCCATTATGTTATTACACTAATATCTGGCCTATGATATATTTTTAAATATCCCATTAAAACATCAGAACATTAACTAGAAATATTAATTACAAATATAATGTAGACAGAATAGGTAGCTCTAAAATTAAATATGGATTTTTTTTATTGCTTAAGAGCTACTCCATGATATACTGCCTTCAGAAAACAGTGGCCTTTGGTGAAACAATGATTACAATTCAAATTATACTGAAAATCATTTCCATCTATAGACTGGAGTACTGTACCTCATAGCCATAATACAGATGTCCACACACATTCAATATGGCAATCGAGGCGTCTTGACACCATGGTTTGTAAATTGTGTTGTCCCAATACAGGATACAGTATCATTTTGACACTTCTCTGTAACGTCTGAGGTCTATAAATACATCACTGGAGCCATATCTTCACACCATAATTTATTCTTCTTTCCTGAACTGGCCCTGTGTTGTATTTGCCATTGGAAGTCACAGGTGGCTAATGTTATGACTTATTTTCATTCCTAAAGTTATGCCTGGGGTGTTGTTTTGTCATTTCTGTCACTACTCAGTGATAGGTATTTCAGGAAGGGCTCATGCTTGCTGAATTGAATTTTATGGCTATCGAAGTGTAGACATTTCTTAACCTCCCAATTTGTGATTTTGTTTGTTGTTGCTGTTGTTGTTGTTTTGTTTTAACTCCAAAACAGGTTTAGAGGCCTTGAAGCAATACAGAAATGTTTAAATCTCAAATGTTCCTTAGTTTTTGCCTTTGGACTTGGCAGTGAATACATGAGGGCTAAGCCAGAGATTTGCTGGGAAAGCAAACACTGCTCCTCTAATTGCAACCCTATCAAAATGTCTTAAATTCTCTCTTCAACTAATGACAATATAGTTTCCTAAGAAGTTAACTGGGTCCTCATAAATGAGTAAATATCTATACCATACCTATCTATCTATCTATCTATCTATCTATAAATTATATGAAAGCCTTTTCATCTAACCCTAGGCTTGTCTGGCTGGCTTGAAAAATACTCAAGCAGAAAACCCCTTTTCATACAATTAAAAATCTGATAATTGTATCTGGGAGATTTGGAAGTTTTCTTGCATCACCTACATTTGTACAAGGAAACATCTTCCTAACTGGATTTTTTCCCAAGCTGTAGAAATATTATAAACATCACATAGCTAAATATAGCATGGGATTGGATCAGTTACAAACTTGATTTATGCTTAATCTTTAGCATATCTCCAATCTCTGTACAAATACAAGGACCACCCTACTAACCACAGGTGTTTCCCTAGAGGCAAAATGATTTAAAGCAAATTATTTTTTTAGGTTCTGAAAGAACCACCACTCCTTTTACACTTTTCAGAGTAACAAAGAGAACATCCTGACCAGAGCATTCAAATACATGAGAAACTTTGCATCATGAAATATCCAGAGTCCGGTTTTGCAAAAATCACAGAGCAAATGTGACCTAAGAAAACAGACTTTAAGGAAATTACAACAGCTATGAACTTGGACTTCCCTGTTAATCAGCTATGCACTTACCAGATATCTCCTCTAGGCACTGCTTAGCCGTCTTATTATATGATGAGTCCATCTTCGTGGGACTGGTACAGGAGTCAGCAGATGGTAAAGAGGTGCCTTCATTTTCTGAATGTGCTCTGAAGTTAACCAAGGAGACAGAGACAAACAACTGTGGTCACCAATGACTCATCAAAGTAGTTCTGTAGCGCAGACATCAGTTCATTATGAGTCTTCCTTTAAGATCAGTAACTCTTTCCATGACTGTATGCCACACAGGTATCCCTCCATACAAGAGCTTTACAATTTATTTTATATACATCACCCAAATATGAGTGAGTTATTGACTCCAATCTGCTATTTTTTTTTTCATTTTTAAGCCTCTATTTGTTGATAACTGATTGCACTGGATAAAACATGAGTGTGGCCAATTTATACACCATCTGGCCTTATAATGCTTTTGTAAGCATAGTAAACCATTGAAACCACACCTGAACTTTCTTTAATGCCTACATTATAAAATTCATCCCCAAATATAATGCATAAGAATAAGTAACAAGCAGGCAGCCGATTATTACTGTAACCATGATGATTTAGTGATGAAGCATTCTGGAATGTTAAAGACAGCCAGAAACAAATCCTTTCACATGTTTATATTTGTGTGCATGAAAATAGTGCACTGAGTATGTGAAGTTATCAAGCAAGGGTCTATCTAATGAAATGGAAAGTGTTCAAAAAGGAATCATGTACTTTTGATGTCCCAGTCTTATCCATACAGTTTCTTTCCTCTACACACACGTGAACAGTTTAGGAATCTCTTGATACAGATACAGAATGTACACATGTTGGATTCAAAAGCTAGTGTTGGAGAAAGCCACAGCATGAGCCACCGAGAAACAGGAATCAAGCTGGCACAACAAGTGATGCTGCTGGGCTATGATTTTGGTAAGAGATTCCACCTGCATTACTTAAAATTCCCTTCACAGTACTAAGTCTCAAGCATGGCAAGTCATCCACAATTATTTCTTACTTTAGGAACAGCTATAGAAGTATTTGCCCGGGAAGTCAATTTCAGTATACCTTTGAGCCACTTTTGGCTGATCTATGACTTTTATCCTAGATATTGGCTTTGAGAAAAACACAATGTCAAGCAGCAATGATAAATCAGAACTAGTTGACATATGGCCATTACATTGGGACAATTTCAGAGGTAGAGATGAGAACATCTAAAGCTAGCGTGGGGTATATGGTGGGGCTGAGGTGGGGTGGGCTTAGTAGGAGCAGGGAGAGGAAAGGACGGAAAAGGAAAGAGGGGAAAGGGAGTGGTTCAGTCTGTAAAGGGCTTGCATGCCAGCATGACCTAAGTTTGGATCATCAGCACCCACATAAATACCTAGTTGCAGTGATGTGTCTAAAATCCCAGAGCAAAGAAGGCAGAGGTCAGCAGCTCACTGGACAGCCAATACAGCTGAATTTTTGACCCCCAGTTCATCTGGAGACCCCGTCTTAAACATAAAGTGGGTGGCAATCAGGTGCCTGACCTTAACCTGTCTGCTTTCCATATGGGAGCATCCACTTTCACTCATGCGCACAATGAACAAACATGTATTTATGATTCAGACATATATGACATTACATGGACACACACACATGATATAATTGTTACTGAAAATGGTAGATATAAAGACTGAAAAAGCTCATTATATTTAGCGAAATCTTTTAAAGCTATATTTCATCCTTCTATTGATGTGTCATATATGCCAAGTGAAAAGAAACAAAGCAAGAATTTATATGTCAAGCCATGTTGACCTCCATTAATTTCGAGCAGAGAGACACAGCTTTATTTTACCTTAAACAGTAGAACAAATTTAAGAGAGAACAGTGTCATCATTAAATCAGCAGATTCTATACCATCGGGGCAGCAAAGACCCCGGTGGTATTCATTCAACTGTCATTGTTATCCTTGACCTCATTTGATCTATTGTGGATAATTTTAACATCAGACCTTTCATTTCTTCAAGAAACTCCATCCTTCATTCCTACAGCCAAAATTCTCCATATCGGTTCCTAATGTCTAGACTTATGTTCAGTCTATGGGTTCCCTTTAAATATTTGATAGTGCATGAGTGATTCATACCAGATGGAATAATAAAGAAGTATTTCTGGTGGATAAAGGATAAATAAGGAAGACTGAACCAACACTGCATGCTTTTGGTTAGGGTATAATTTGGGGCTTACCATTAACTCAAGTCATATTAGCAAGTAAATTTCAACTCATTCATCTGTTAAAAAGCAATGAAAATGTGAGGCTGCACAATAATTATGACCTCAGTTGCTACTATGAGCAAAGGCCTGAAGAGATCGCAAGAGGCAATCTCCTGAGCATATGGATTCTAGTCAACATTCAAAAAAAAAATCTATGGCTTTTTATGACTTTTACAACTTACTTTGATTCATCTTTGTCTCCTGTATATACCCTGTATACTGAGTGTGCCACTGTACTATCTCTGGAGTCCACTATGGCCTCGTCAAGACTAATTTCTTGCAAACGTCGTATCATGCTGACCTCTCAGCCTATCCTATTTTGTCTGAATAAGGAAGAAAACATCCTCTCAAATTTTCTAAGACTTCTTATCACATGTTGAGCAGGTCTAAAAACTGAGTATAGATGCATGCTGGAGTCCCCAAAGAAGGCTGCCTGACTGCTGTCCAAGCAGTGTCTAAAAAGCACCCTGCTTTGGCAAGCTGGCTTTGTGCCAAGATTGGCATGCAATCCTGCAGGTTTAGTATGCAGAGACTCATCTCCCAGAAGCTGAGATACCTTATGTGTTTACTGAAATGACTGTCTAAAGCTCAAGGCTAGTTGCTTCTCATCAGATCAACACTAGCAGCTGTCATGGGAGGCAGAATAGGTGATCACAATAGATATGAACACTTACAGGCTGTCCCTCTACTACAGTCTGTATGGAACAGGAGATTTAGAATGTCTTGAGAGTAGGGATTTTTCTCTATGCAAAACAAAGCATTTCTGAGTTGACTGTGACAACCTTCCTCACCACATGGGACAAATGTTTGGTTCTGAGGGCTGTGCCTCTGTTGTCCCTTATCTGAGACACTTACAAAGTGTGTTCACATTTCTAATGGCCCAGTCTTAACGAAGATGCTTCCATTTTGTTGTGTTATTGTCAGAGTACATACTTCTGGCTGTTTTCCTTTTGGTGTCTTTGTAGTTTACAACAAAAGGTGGATATATCATGGTATTCTCAAAACGAGTCATTTACAGTAGCAATTAGAAGAATACAATCAATTATTAAAAGGAACATGAGACACTAAACTTCACATCATTTTCAAAGAACTTAGAACTCATTGATTTATGTGTAGAGTTCAGATCAGGCATCTTGATTCCATGTATTTTACAAAACTGCCATTTATCTGGCCTGTTTTATTTACAAAAGTAGTAGAATTAGATTTTAACTCCAATCTACTGGGATATAATCAATGCTCATTGGTGTAATTTTAAATTTCATTACAAATAATCAAAGAAATAAGGCAAATTTCTAGACAATTCCAAAATGTTCTCTATTCTTGTAACTATTCTATGTAATTTGGGTCTTGTTATGAAACAGTTTATGAAGACATCAAAACCCACAGGTACAATTTGACAGAGTGAATACTGCAGCTCATCCTCCATTGTTCCACACAAATGGACATAATGCTGTTGCACATTACATGTCTCTACTGAAGCTATGACATGTACCTTGACAAATACTATGTAGTTAATGTAGAATTCTACTTTTCCATGTCTACAAAATGTTAAGTTGTAAACTAATAAATCTAAATCTCTACAAAATGAACCTCAATTTTTATGTACCTTCGATGCAACACTTATGGGTCAGGTATAATATCTTTTCAACAACAGTAACTTTCACTCTGATTCTGTAAGATAGTTGCTGCAGATAAACAAGTTATAGTTTCTAAGTGTCTGACCATTGGCCCCATGCTTAATCAATACTTGAACTAGGTTGCCTGTAAATGGTGAACTATCAATAAGTACTTTGACAATTTTGCTACATTGAAATGTCTCTGGACACTCAGTATCGTATTTCAAGTTTTCTTCAATAATAGATAGTTCAGTCTTTAGGAGACAGCATCATCTGGTCTATTCTAAATGTTACACTTTACTAGTCATTTAAGAAATTTGATAACACATATTAGGCACTATCAAAAGTGAAATTGTATGAAAGTGAGTACTTTTATATTGACCTAAATTTAACTGCCTAATTTGTGATGTAAATGCCTATGCATGTTCCTACCCAGATAACTTAGTTTTGACCACTGAAAAAACCTAGAATCAGTAACATGGTTTAAAGTATAATTCTCCATGAAAAGAAATTAGGGCTCATTAAATAACAGATGAAGCCAATTTATGGAAAGTATAAGATGAGTAACAAACTCATTAAGCCACGAAGAAGGAGTCCCACAGAGTGGTAAGGCTTGTTAAAAGGGCACACAGAGTAGCTTGAAGAATCTCTCAGTGACATAGTTAAGCAAATTTAAACATGAAAATAAATTATGGTGGCAATGGATTATAACTCATGAAATAATATTGGATTCTATTAGTCATTACAGTGTGGATAGATAAATAATAGAGAGAAAAGACTTTCTCAAAGTAACAGTGGCATGAAGTAAACACAGAAGAAAAATGGAATTATACAGTAATCATCATTAGAATATATTTTTAATTCAGGCAAGAAACTTCAATGGGTGTTAAAAGTTAAGTGAATGGAGATAAAAAATAATTTTTCATAGAGTTTCAAAATATCTTCCTCTACAGATATTTATTAGACACAGTAGAATTAATTTTAAAATAAAAATCCACAGGAAATGTTAAAGAAGCAGACTAACCTTATGCCACAATAGAAAATAGAGTCATATAACACAATACATTTAGTGTAAGCATTATTTACATGACATTGTAGGAAAATAAGTCCATTTGTCTAATGATGGGTAAATACCAGACAAACCCAGATAAAAGGAAAATATTGAAAATTGGCCTTCAAAATATGGATGTTATAAAAATAAAGGAAAGGCAGAAGAGACTTAAGGCTACTATCAAGACTGACTACTATGTCTAATTTTA